GTTTCTACGAACGGTCGACGCTCGTGAATTTAAAAAGCTCGACGAGGTGCCGTGAAATCTCAGTATAGGTCGAACGCTTTTTCCGTCATGTTGTTGACACTTACATTGAGTGGGAAGAGCAGCCTCCTCGCGGGGAACTACTTCCCCGCCATAGATTTGAGTGACGGTGATTACGAGCTCGGCCTGATGATTTTTGAGACTTATCACACGATACCGAACGTAAACGAATCAAACAATAAATTTTATTTCGACAAAGACGACGCAGAAATTACAATTCCCGAAGGTTCGTACGAAGTACGAGACATAAATGAATTTTTCAACCGTGCGATTTTACGTTCGTGCTGCGACGTGCTTGAAACCTTTGATATCACATAGTGCTTTTGCGTAGTGACAATAGCAACAATAGCATCTATAACACCGATGACGACGACGATGGCGAGGATGCGGAATATCCGATAACAATCCGTGCAAACTACAACACGATGAGATGCGAAATTAGATGCGCCTACAGAATAAACTTTGGCATGCCCAACAGCATTGGATCGCTGCTAGGATTCTCGTCGAAGCGTATACTGCGACCGCGAAGATGGCACGAATCGGACGTGTCGATGAACATAATGAACGTAAATGTTATCCGCGTAGAACGTAACGTGACCGCGGGCGCGTATAGCAACGGCAAAGGTGTACACACGATACAAGAATTTTCCCCGAGCGTGCCACCGGGATATAAGATATCGGAAAGACCCGCGCAGATCATTTACTTGCCGATCACCACGCGGAGTATTACGGATCTAACGATACGCATCGTCGACCAGAACACACGATTGTTCGATTTTCGCGGAGAGGAGATCACCGTCAGATTGCACATGCGACAGCGACAGCGATAAAGTGAGCGTGAGATGCTTGTATTGAACGGAGCGGACCGCACGAAGAGAAATAACGAATTCTTTACAAGGCCGGTGATGTCACAGCTCGACAATACTCGCTCATCCAGCTTCATCAGGACGAAAAAGCTTAGCGCGTCGAACGTTAAATTTTTACAATCTCTTTGGGATTCGCGGTGCGCCACTTTTGAGATGATTAATATCTTGAATATTACGAGTGAGCCGATCTTTGACGATCGCATCGTCAAGTTCGAGAGTCACTCGTACAACCCGTTCGCCAATACAACGTTCGGGTACAGCGACGAAATAAGAATACCCATACAGCAACAGGATTTGTACACGTTGCCGTGCGAAAGTTTTCTCTGCGTCGAAGGAAGATTGACTGTGAAAAAGAAAAACGATCAGATGCCAACGACGCTTGTAAATAATTGCGTAGCGTTCATGTTTGATGAAAGGAGGAGGGCCCTAAGCATACAATTTTCGTCCCCTCGAAATTTTAATTTAAATGATTAAAATCTACTTTCTAACAAAGAAAATATAGTTTTTTAATTATTTTGAGTTAAACGGGGATGTTTTTGGTTAATGAACACCCCTTTTTTGAGGGTTGTTTGATAAAAATGATATAAAATTATTTCCAAAATACATTTGGAAATTCTTGCGCAATTTGTTTGCAACTCGTTACTAGGAGGTTTTTGGGGTCGCTGATTACGAATCTGAGGTTAGATTTCAAAAATTCAGAATGGCGGATCCAATATGGCGGACGAGTTTCGTAAAAAATTATCAAATTCACTTAAAAATCGTTACTCGGGGGTTTTTGGAGTCGCTGATTACGAATGTGAGGTTAGATTTCAAAAATTCAAAATGGCGGATCCAATATGGCGGACGAATTTTTTTAGAATTTTTAAATTATCTTGAAAATCTGTATAACGTCATGAATTACCATAAATATATGGAATTTACATTCATTACTTTTATGGCTGGGCTACAATGTGCTTTTTGTTTTCTGTTTCTTGCTTTTTGTGTCTTGTCCTTTTGTCTCTTGTGCACTGTTTTACCGACAATGATGTTTTTTGTCGCGTGTTTTATGTCTCTTTAAAAGTTCGTCAACTTTTATCTCGGGAAACAGAAAACGATGAAACATCACAGTGCGATAATATGGTTATGGCAGAGAACAACACCTCAGGTTATATTTTTAAGCATTAATAAAAAGTGACATAATAAAAAGAATACATAGGATGTCGGATAAAGAAAATGAAAAGGTGGATGAAGCTTTTGGTGAATTGCTAGCCAATTTTGTGCGACAAAATCCTTGTCTTTACGACAAAAAATGCAAACAATACAAAGACAAGAAATTTGTTGCCGATACCTGGAACTCCATTACAAGTGCCTGCAATATGTCAGGTAGATAAGTAAAAATTTTAAATTTTAAGATAAAAGTATAAATTAATTTGTTATATGCTTACTTTATGGATGATCGTATAATTTTAGATTTAGGTTAGATTAGGTGGAAGAGGTTAGTTAATTCTATATTTCTGTTTTACAGTCGATACGGTGCAAAGACAATGGAAAATTCTTCGCAACCAATTTGCTCGAGAACATCGCCTTATGATGACGTATGAGCCATCAGGTACAAGAAATGATACATCTAAGATACCACGTAATACATGGTATTTGTACGACTCCCTTTTCTTTTTGGCATCACATGTAGCCCATCGTAATACATGTAGCAACTTTGTACGAAGAAATACAATGATGAATCAATCATCGCCATCATCATCAAAGTCTGCATCACAGTTAACATCTGTACCGTTAGCATCTGAACCGTTTAGCACTCTGTGGAATTCAGATCTTGTTACTGTTAGTGATGACTCAAATGTTTCAACTTCATTAATAGAAATATCGATGAAAGAAGTTTCAACAGCTTCAGCAACTCCAACAACTTCATCAACTTCATTTAGTCAGTCAAAGTCGTTAGCTACTACAAAGAAAAATTTAATTTCCCCACCACCTGATCAATTTGCAGCCAAGAAGATGAAGGGATCTCAGAGAAACGAAGAACAGCTGTCTGAAATTATATGCAGTACGACTAAGAATATAAACAAGTTTATGCACAACTTAACAGAAAAACGCTCGCAAGCTGTCAACGACGATGGAGAGGAAGCAGCAATGGCGAAAACATTAATTTATGCGTTGAAAAGAGTAAACTCCAAGTACAAAATCCAGTGTTATATGGAATGTTTATCTATTATAGATAAATATCACAACATGACAGCAGAGGAAACAATTCAAAATCTATAATTTCTTTATACCACATGGAAAATATTTTATTAATGTTTTATTAGTATTGTAATTATGTTTTATTACATAGGTAAAAGATATAATTTTGTTATGTACTTTAAAGTATATACATATATACACACATATATGTATATATACAAATGTACGTATGTTAAATCTATGTAATATATAATAAGTAGAAAAACATATTTTTTTGCGAGATATAATGGGTGCATTCAGTACTATGACTGTTCATTGAGCGCTCAGTAAGCTCTTGTATGTGTATGGTCTATATTTTTAAATCTAATGGAATATGCCGGTCAAATGTAAGAGCTCACTGAGTGCTCAGTAAGCGGTTGTAGTACTGAATGCACTGTTTTGGTATATGACTGTTTTGGTTGTTAATAACATATTTTCTAAGAGTTAACTCCAAGTACAAAATCCAATGTTATATACATGGTATGTTTATTTATTTTGGATAAGCATAACATAACAGTAGAGGTTTAAAATCTATTCTTTTATAGCGATCTATAGTACTTTTCTTATATAATTATGCTTTGCTATGGAGATTAAAGATATATAATTTTTTTAATGTTCTCTAAAGTATATATGATAAAATCTTTAATCTGCATAACATAATAATTAGAAAAATGTGATTTTTTAGTTATATTATTTTGCAAGATGTAATGACTTTTCTAGTTGTAATAATTATTTTATTTTCTATACATTTACATATATATAAGACCATGTTATTTCTAAGTTGCAGTGATAACTTGTTTAATTTTTTATATATTTGTCCTTAAATAAGTGTTCTTGTTACATTAGTTATTAAGAAATGCAATATATTCATGGCCAAAGTGTAAATGTTCAGTATCTAAATGATTAGTATTTTTTAAATATTAAAACTATATTTTGTAAACAAAAAATAAAAAAGATTATTAAATACACAAAACACTGATGTTTGGCTGTTCTACAATGTGCTTTTTGTTTTCTGTTTCTTGCAGGCACTTGCGATGGAGCTCCAGGTATCTGCAACAAATTTCTTGTCTTTGTATTGTTTGCATTTTTTGTCGTAAAGACAAGGATGGTCTTCATGGTCTGTAACTTGCATTTCTCTAAACAGGTTCCTAAAGACTCCTTGAGTTTCTCGAGGGTAATTAATTGGACGCACCCACCAACGCCTTCTTCTTTTTTTAGATTTCATTTTTGCAAGCAAAAGATAAGATTCCAACATTGGGTGCTAATTGAAATAGTCAACAAGTCTTCATCCATTTTTATTCAACAAGCATTGCAGAAAATAATGTGTAAAAATAATTACATAATCTGTAAAATAATAATACCGCTGAATGATTTAAGGTGACCCTACATGGTCAATAATACCGATCAGTAATATACGTGGCACAATGCCAGAGACGAGATTTATGAAATAACAGAAGTACCTAATGATCTCTCTAATAGATCACGCAGTGAGAGCTAGTGGAGATGTAGCAGCATATGTGTAAGCAGTAGCCAGGACTCTGTCTTCAGTTGTAAGTATGATACAACTGAAGATTTGAGTCAATGTGACTAAGGGCGACTGTTACCAACGCCGATTAACATAATCGATGATTAACTCAATCAGTAGAATTACTATTATAGATAGAAGATTTTCATTACTTTTATCATAATTAAGTATAGGAACGTACAGATAGAAGTACATCACGAAGAGATAAGGTTAAGAATGCTATAGTCTTGCTATTGACTATATTGCTGATTGAGTTAATCGTCGATTAAGTTAATCGGTGTTGATAGTCGCCCTAAAACATTGGATGGTACATACCAGCTCAAATCCCGCGTGTATTGTCTAAAATACATTTATCTATTAACTTGACTTTTACATCATGGTTCATACATTAATATATCGTCTTCGAATTGGTCTAAACATCATTATCCAATAAGAATGCTGTAGTAACATGAGAATGGACTTTGAATACTGGTCTGTGATTGGTCTAAGTGAAGCAACATTTTTCTTCGATTATTTAGAAAAAACAAATTGTACATGACGTGTTTCTCGGCTATTTTTTTAGAATGTTTGAATTATCTTGAAAATCTGTATAACGTCATGAATTACCATAAATATATGGAATTTACATTCGCTACTTTTAGCATTACCCAGGAACAACGACGTGGACGTAGTAGTGTTTTGTTCCCATCGGGTGTTTTTTGGGGTGAGTTCCCTTGCCTCTCACAATATCGGGTGTTTTTTGGCGTGAGTTCCCTTGCCTCTCACGAAAAAGACTTCTCTGAATACAGAATACCTTAAGCATGTTCATCACCTTCTGATTCATCCGTTTCCGACCATGTGCAACATACAAATAAATATTGGGGCACTATTGCATTGGGATGCTGTAAGTATACAATTGCAACAATACACAAATGTTATAGAATGTAATTCGTAGCATTCCAATGCAATAGTGCCCCAATATTGATTTGTATGTTGCACATGGTCGGAAACGGATGAATCAGAAGGTGATGAACATGCTTAAGGTACTCTGTATTCAGAGAAGTCTTTTTCGTGAGAGGCAAGGGAACTCACGCCAAAAAACACCCGATATTGTGAGAGGCAATAGAACTCACCCCAAAAAAAACCCGATGGGAACAAAACACTACTACGTTCACGTCGTTGTTCCTGGGTAATGCTAAAAGTAGCGAATGTAAATTCCATATATTTATGGTAATTCATGACGTTATACAGATTTTCAAGATAATTCAAACATTCTAAAAAAATTCGTCCGCCATATTGGATCCGCCATTTTGAATTTTTGAAATCTAACCTCAGATTCGTAATCAGCGACTCCAAAAACCCCCGAGTAACGATTTTTAAGTGAATTTGATAATTTTTTACGAAACTCGTCCACCATATTGGATACGCCATTCTGAATTTTTGAAATCTAACCTCAGATTCGTAATCAGCGACCCCAAAAACCTCCTAGTAACGAGTTGCAAGCAAATTGCGCAAGAATTTCCAAATGTATTTTGAAAATAATTTTATATCATTTTTATCAAACAACCCTCAAAAAAGGGGTGTTCATTAACCAAAAACACCCACGTTTAACACAAAATAATTAAAAAACTATATTTTCTTTGTTATGAAGTAGATTTTAATCATTTAAATTAAAATTTCGAAGGGACGAAAATTGTATGCTTAGGGGCCCTCCTCCTTTGATATGAACTCAACGGTATGGAGATTAACCGCAGCAGAAACGTGGGCACGCTGTTGGCTTTTGCGAAGATTACAAACGCCTGATCGTCAACGCTCGCCACAAATTGATTTCGATACGAACGCGCAATGACAATAATTGCTTGGTGGGAAATCCTGTGACGGAGTCTGAAATTGAATTATTTAAAGTACAGTGGCGGATGTCCTACGTTACATTAAACGAGATCAATAAATTATCAATGCTGCGAGCATTGGAAAGTCGTTATCTGAGCATGAGTTTTCGCTCGTGGGATCTGTACGAGTATCCTCTGTTACAGAATACAACAAAGCATTCATGGGCCGTCAAAACGGCGACTCAGCTTGAGAAGCCGCGATACGTTATCTTTGCTCTGCAGACCGGTCGAAAGAATGTCATGTCACAAAATGGTAGCGTGTTCGACGATTGTTATTTGAGTAACGTGAAACTTTATTTAAATTCGTTTTATCCGTACGACGATTTAAATCTGGATTTTAGCAAAAAGAGATACGCCGTCCTGTTTGATATGTACGCCCATTTTCGTAGAGTACGTTGAGTAGCGTTTCGAAGCAATCGATTCCATATTATGGAATCGATTGCTTCGAAACGCTACTCAACGTACTCTCATTTACCGAGGAAGTACCTTTTGTGGTCATTGATTGCTCGCGACAAAACGAATCCGTCAAGGGTACTACCGTGGACGTGCACATAGAATTTGACTGCAAGGAGAATGTGCCCGCAATACTACAGCCTATTGTCTCATCATATAGTGGTTCAGTACAATCCGTTGACCAACGTTGTGCACGAAATCATCTAAGTGCATTCTCCAACACGCTATAAAATATACGATTCATCGAAATCGATCGCAGTCTCGAAAAATCGTTCGACATGACTGTACCAACGGTTATGGATCTACAAGGATTTGTCATTGGAAAGAAATTTATCGTGAAGGAAGTGGCGGTGTTGAGAAAAGCCATTCTCTCTCATTACATTTTTACATGTCCCATGCCATGGAGTTTCTTTACAAAATTAGAAAAGTATTGCGCTTCCTGGCTGAGTGCTTATCACTATGGATTTCAATGGGAAGACGGGATGAACCCGTACAGCATGGTGAAACACCTGATTACAATAGTTGTAATTGGTGTGGAAGATAGTGACGACAATAAGGCTCTCGTATGCGTTAAAGGACGTGAAAAACGCGAATGGCTGACTGATGTACTCGATAGCGACAACTTGACCATTGAGACCTTGGATGCTGATTACAAAGATATTGATTCTTTACATAATCTAGATGTTACCAATACTATGATGTGTAAAACATATTAAGAATTGTGCATTACAAAATGTATTTAAAATATACAACTGGTGGTCGCAACGCCAAAAAGAAATGTATCAAATTTAAAATGAAATACGAGATTTTTTTTTAATACATTTTAAATTTCTTTTCCCTCCCCTTCCTTTGTAATACATGCGATAAACATATGAGCATATGTATGAACGTATGTACGTATAAACGTATGTACCTATAAACGTAAGTAGGGTATATACCCCGATTCTAACCCAGGGGCAACGAGGAGCAGGGGGGTACCCGCGGGGAGGGGGATGACGTCACAGGGCGAGGGGGCCAACGTCAGGGAGGGGGGGAGAGGTATGACGTCATAGGGGGCTGACGTCACGGAGGAGGAGGGGAGGGGTATGACGTCACAGGGGATGACGTCACGGAGGGGAGGCGATAATGTCACAGGTCGAGGGGGCTGACGTCACGGAGGGAGGGGTAGGAGATGACGTCACTAGGTGAGGGATGAC